AGCGCGCCGATAGGTCGAAGAAGATGGACTTGGGTAGGCACGAGAAGGCGACGATAGATCGAGATCATTCATTGTTTGGACAAGTCGAATCACTCAGAACGCAGTGATAGCAAAGAAACACGGAACCTTTTTTTCATGAATCAGGTCGGCCGCGGTGTTTCGCGAAATGTTGCCTTGCCGCAATTAGAGTTCTATGTCAGCCTAAGAGATCTATAAAAGCAACGGCACACCGTGCTGATATGATCCTTTTTGTTACACCTTCCAGTTTCGAGCTCATCTGTGCCGTTACTAGTAGACGTCACGGTATCCCCTAACGCTAGCGGGCCGTCGCCTACCTCACCGTTCCACCAATTTGCCGGCAACGGACAAAGCCTTAACAACGTTGCCTACCTCGCGCCTTCCTAACCTAACCTTGGTAGTCTGTTGTTTGTCAATATAAATTTGACATTCGTATCTTCACAACCAACCAAGCCGCAACCGCCGATTATAGAGTCACTGGGTCTAGAAAAGATAGAGATCAATAGAAGAACAGGTTAGTAGTGTTGCTTCACTACCAGAGTGATTTTTTGATATCTTTGTCAAGCACAGTCGACTCTTACAGCATCGCTGATAAGCTTGATAAAAAGTTTCTACCTGTACGGACCCGTTCATAAGCTCTCATATTTTATGGCTCAAAGCGCCACTTGGGTTTCCGTGATGACAGCGGCAATTCCCGACGACCGATCACAGCTTGTTCAGGCTTCCCTGTCTGACGAAACTTCATCATCAGCTGTCTTTCGTCTTCCTTCTATCCATCATTCTTTCAATAATCAAGGTCTTTTCGATACCACGACGATACCCCGTCCAGGAGCGATGGACTTTGCAACTGCTTCACATCAGCCAATGTACAACCAGGCTGACCTCGATCAAGCATTTAATTCATTGCAGACAGTAGACAACTCTTCTCCATCTCACCATTTGTCTCAAACAATTCCTCAACATAACTTTGATCATTCAGAATCTCGAGAGGTCTCAGATCATCCCTCCTATGATCTCTTTTCAAACAATAATAACAATTTTGCCTCTCAGCGGTACCGCGCCAATTCATCTTCCTCTTCGTCCCTGGGTCCTCCTTACGCCATGAGCCCAGACGGAGTATACTCGCATGCATCCTTTGGCGACTCTGTTCCATCATTTGGCTCCAGCAACACCTACGACATCATGAACAATGTTTCGTATTCCAGTGGGAAGGTCTCTCCATTGACACCCAATGACGCGATGACTGGCATCCAGCAATCTCCGGTCTTCCCCCACTCCTTGGGTATAAACGGACACCAGAAGGACTTTTCCAACGGCCACGCATACCCGGAACTCCTCAACGATCGCCGTGTTTCCGGTGTTAGCGGCGCTGGCTATCACAATGACTTCTCCGATGATTATGGCATGAACGGCGGTGCAGGCTATCCTCCATCGGCCCTTCAACCATTCCAAGATCGCATGCGCTTGCAACCTGACAGTCGCTTTCCCCATTCTGGCCTACCTCCTTCGGTCCCTTCGCATATGGGACACAGCCCTGATATGTTCCGTGGCGTTGCTCCGCAAGCAACGCACTCGTTCCGCCCTGACTCTGGCCTTCCTGGCTACGACGACGTGCAATATTTTGGAAACCCTCATGCTGATATGTCCCTCCGCATGTCCAACATTGGGGATGGTTTTCCTGGGATGAGAAACGGGCATCCTGGTATGGGCTCCTCCAATGACCTTCAGGCTTTCATTCGGTAAAGACTATTACGTTAAATTTACCTTCAGAATCTCATGCCTTTGCTATTCAGACCCTACCTCGATCAATACGTACGGACGCCAAACCGCCTCGCGTTTGGCGAACGCACTGTCATTGTCATGTCGAGCAGGGTGGCGCAAAAATCATACGGCACTGAGAAACGCTTCCTCTGCCCCCCTCCAACGGCAATCATGATTGGCAACTCTTGGTGGACTGACGTGATACGCCGCGGGGAAGAGCCAAAACTTTGCCCTCCTCGTGTGACCGGAAGAGACAGAGTGCAAAGAATCTTGAGCGTGCGTAGATTCACTGTGGTTCATGATGGCTTTTGACCGTGATCCTCCAGTATGTATAAACCATGGTTCAACGATTTCACTCTTCCATCGTCTGCGTTCTCAGACCGTCTCGACGAAGTACCTCTGTGTCTCCGGTTCAGGTTCCTCTTTCAAGGGTTCTGACGGCGCCCCTTTAATGGGGATCGATACTCGTGCGCGATCTAGCACGCCATCATTCATTGCACGTACTGCTAGTTGGGGTCAGTTTTTCACTTATGCTTTTTTTGTCTTCGCTGACGTTTTCACATTAGATCCGTTTGTAATGTACATTGTCGATGTCAACAAACCGGCCGGCGGAATTGATACCCCTCCCCCACCACCTCCACAACCTGACTACCCTTCACCTCCACCAAATGCCATTCCTTTCACCAACAACGGCACCCAAATACCAATCTATTACAACCAGACAGTGGTGCTACAGTGTCTAGTCTCGGGCGTCGTATCCCCCGTCTTGATTATCCGGAAAGTTGATCATCAGACGACAGTAGTTGGAGGAGGTCTTCAAGAAGGCGCAAAGGGTGTTGCAGACCACTATTGCTCACCAGGCGAAGTGTGTGGTGACCCAGTCTCGCAGCTTCATAAGATCGCCTTCGAAGTCTACGACTCAACGAAGGGCATGCCTGAGCCTGGAACCCCCGGTACAACGGGCGCGTTCTTGTCGTGCATGGGTGAAAAGGTTAATACCTACCGTCCAATTGAGGGTCGGCTGTGGAACAACCCGCCGAATGCAGGGTCAACATCCCCTATCCTTCCTGGATCTCCCGTAGTTTCAACACCAGCGTCCATGTCGGGCGCCGATTATTTCGGGCAGGGCTACTGCAAGCGAGCCAGCATCACCGTCTTCATCAAATGATTTTTCAAATGACGGCGGGCGGGTGAAGAAGGCGAAACGTTCAACATCAAGTGCCGGTGTTATCAAGAATCCAGGCCCGAAAGGGCGGCGGCGCCCGACCTCCGCCGGGTCTGCGTCTTCTGGACGTCGCGGATCTTCCACTGACGCCGGCGCATCATCGGGTGCACTTTGGCAAGTGGATATAGGCGAGACGAGCGTCTGGACTATTGTTGGCACAGGTACTACGTAATTTTCCATTCCCAAATGTGCAAAACTTAACTTTGAATTTGTCAGATCAAGTGCGATACAACTTCTATGTACCGCCCGTGTTGTTCGACAACCAGAATGCGCCTCAAACAGGATCATTCCCAATCCCGTCGAAGCCCGTCACTCCATTCCCGGCAGTGGTGAAATACCTTCCTCCTGACCGTGCTGCGGAGGCACCAAAGTCTAACTGCGCACAATCGCGTGGCGTCTTGTCGAAACCTAATCCTCACATATCAAAAATGTTGACTGTATACGGAGAAAACTTCAACAAAGCAGACCCAGTACACATCTTCTTCGGATCAGACCCTTCGCCATATGCCGAAGTGAGGTGCACCGAGGTGTTGGGCTGCCTACCTCCAGAAAACCAAGTTGCGAAACGCCGCCCGATTATCATGATACGACCTGATGGCGTTGTATTCCCGTCACCTGTTATGTTCCCTTGATTGTATTTATCGGTATATCCTCGGTGCTTGTTTGTGGAGGCCTGGTCTGCCTGCGTGGATATATCCCTATAATTTCGCGATTCCCAATGCTTTGAACATGTTAGGATCTGATAGTTGCTATCTGTACACCATGGACCCGACTAAGTCCCAGCGCAAGACAGTACTATGTAGCCCCCTTGTATCATATCTGTTAGAAGAATTTCGATTTGATGTTTCTATCTCCTGTTTGTCGCCTCTAGGCAGGATCTTCTACGGCAAAGACCGTGAAACTGCCTTGTAGCCTCTTTACAGTTGTCATCTTTATCAGATCTGTGCACTGAGTTGGACTCTTGTACGTTACTTTTCCATCATATCAACATATTTGACAGCGGTACGCCCACCTATCATCGCTCTACACGCAACGCGTTCGTCGTATCGGGTGCAAAAACGCTATCTAGTAATCACGGCTGTTACAAAACCCAAGCGCAATCAGAAATCGTTCTGTCGGGTCCAAAGCACCATCTAAATCACGGGCGTAACTTGCAGCTTGCCAGCATTCTTTTTGCATATTCCTGCAAGCGACCTGTTCCAATTTGGCTCCAAATCCCTTCACCCTTCACTCCAGAATCATGGGTTCCCAATACAGTTTACACCTCTTGTTCTCTTCCGCACCTCGTCGCGTATGGCATGCATACATCGAATATCTATGGAACCCGCTTCCTGGCTCCTGGGTCACCCAGGTCGCATATTCATTCCGCATATTGGCGTTCCTGCTTATTCTCCCAGTCGTCGTTCTGACACTCCTGGTGCGTATCCAACCCTGCTAAATTTGTAGATCCTCGCTTCTTTCAATTATTGATATCTCGTTAGGATATTACCTCCTATGTAATCGCACGCACTCTCGGTATTGTTGACGACGTCAAAGCGTCCACAAGCGACCTGCCTGTTATGACTGCTGAGGGCACGCCCTCGGTCCTCGTTGAAGATACGTCATCTGAAGAATCGTTCCCCGCGGAGCAAGGCAGCTGCATATCTTCGGTTCATCGGCAACACAATACCGACATGAAGAGTACGGGAGTACAGGAAGAAATGAAGCTCCAGGCTTACTTCACGGGAGAGGAGGATCTACGCTTGTCGAGTGTTGGCGTTCTCTCGCCTTTCCCGTCTCAGCCACCGTCACCTGTTCTACCCCACGAGAACTTGTCTGGAGAAGATGGATCGATGAGAATGGAAGATCTACGTGATGCACAGGATGAGCCCATGATCCTGCGACGACGGGGCGCCCAAGCGAAAAGTGATGATTAAATCAGCCTTTTTGGAATCGCCGCTAGAACTACATATTTTTTGCACCGTGTACGATGACATGATACCGATCAACGTCCCTTTTTACTCTACAGCTACAGTGATATCGATCAAGAAAACCAACTCGCAAATAAAAAAAACTGGCCAAGACGTCAAGTGAGGCGATCAGTAAAACCGTAGCTGATCTCTGGTGAAGACAGGTGGCTTCCAGATCAAATTATCGGCATAAATCCGACGCCTGCGTTTGTTTCGCACTTTTTCATGTTTCTCCAAAACGGCTTCCGAGAGACAAATGATATGTTGTCCTTTGTAGTGTTTAAATAGCTGCAACGTTGTGCACCTGCAAGCAATTCATTTAGCGTTACATCCCAGAGAACAGGTTCTTTCACACACGTATTCATAATATCCGCATGGGTGATAGACGTCTTCTGCGCAATATCGTCAATGCTCAGCTCATCTGTCGTATTGATGAGCAATTCCACGATGACCTCCGCCCAATATGCACGGTAACCGAGTAGGCCCAGATCGCTCAGGGGCTTTTCAGGGCTGCCAAGTTTCCCCTCTTTCTTACTCAACTCGTAAGAAAATTCGATGAGCAGCTTGCCAAAGCCGTGGCGTTGATGCTGCGGTAGCGTCAAGATACATGCGACGTTGTAATTCTCCGCCGACTCTTTCTCTTTCGAGAAGTAACCGATAATATGGCACCCTGTAGAATCTCGTAGACACTGCGATGATAGTCGGTATAACATAAATACAGAATGGCATTGTACACACCATGACATAATACATGAACGGTGTCACGTCATAGTACAACGTCTTGCTATAAGGGCACAGTCAGATAATTGAGCTTCGTCGTTACCGAGAAGAACTTACTGATCTAGAAAACATTTGGACAATAAACTGAGGTTCCGACACCAGCTTAATTGCCGCTTCCCATCAAGTTCGAAGACCGAAATGTCTTGGTGGCGGTAGATCTCGTTGCCAGGTGGATGAAATAGCGTACAACGTTGTCGGTGGCGCGAGAGCATCATGGGCGACGGAAAATATGCGAGACAGAACTCGCAGATGTATAGCACGGGTAAATGCGCATATTCCTTTGGATATGGACTGAAGTACCACGCTTCGACCTCGTGTTTGCCAATCTGTAGACGGTTTAAATTCTTCACCCGCGCAATTTCTGATATTGACTGGGTCATCGAGCCGGATGTCCGCAGTTTCTCGATTTCTTGTTCTTTGCTGAATGAAGAAACGGGAGGGGGCGTCTCTACTTGTGCACCATTGACGTTAAGTTCGAAGGTATCCCCTTCGCCGTCGACATCCATCTCGCCTTCTGCGTCTACATCATCCCCTTCAATTTCTTCTTCCTCTTCTTCCTCTTCATCATCAGTTAACTTCCGCTTCAATGATGGGGCAGGTGATGGCGAGGGAAAAGCAGAGCGGCCAGGGGTTGAGGCAGATGTGGGCGAAGCAGCCGCAGCCGCATTTGATGTCGCTTTCTTCAATAATGACTGGAGCGAGGCGCCTTCCCCGGTGCTTTCTGCAGTGAGCCAGGCCCAGCTTTCTTGCCCGGTAGCACCTTGGGACGGGGCCACTCGAGGTCCCTGCTCAAGATAAGCCGAGATCCCGTTACCCACTCATCCAAACGCTTGTTAAACTGATCCCAGTGGACAAAGTACTCCCATTTGTCTTCTGGTTTGTCGGGTGCATCTTCCTCTTCTTCTTTCACACCACCTCGGGCATTTGTGCGTTGTGCTGACGTATATGAGTTCACGGGTTTATCACGAATTGATAGTATTTCTGCAAGCCGCTCTTCCTCCCCGTCTGGGGTTGGACGGCGGATGTAGATTTTGCACCCAACAGAGACGGTCTGAGGAAAGAATTTGATGAGTCAGCACTATGGAGGCCTGTGTGAATTGAAACTGCGGAAATTTACTTGGATAGTGTACGTTCCTCCAGGTGTGATGGATGCGGACTCCTGCGAGCCTTCATTGTTAGCATGTGCAGAGACCATTCTCGAGCAAAACGGCGGCGAAAGCTGAGTGCTAAGGGAGAAGAGCAGATTTTGCGTCGTTTGTGTCGACTTACCGAGTCATGAGGGGAAAGTTGAATTTCGCTTACTCAGCCTACAGCAGTGCAGCACAGCAACCTTTGCTTCCTATTTCACCAACACAGGCCGAATGTCACGGTTTAATTGTGAACAAAGGCAACGCTAGACAACAGCGCTTAAGTCTATAGGCTACGGTTCCTATGGGCCAATCTGAGACTGCCTCCGGGTTGATACCATACTAGCAGGAGGCCTCATCATTTTTAGGAGCTGTAGTCTATAATTTGCAGTGTGTTTCAACTACTTCGCTTTTTAGACATCGACTGCCAGGGGGCACTCTCCAAGTTAGTTCCAAGCGTACAGATTGAGTTACACCTGTAGATTCGGATCATTAATGCTAAAAGCACAACAAAAGCCGTGCAACCGGCGCTGCACGATTCTTCGTCGAACGCATAATTCCGTCGAGTGCGCGCGGCGTCAGATGGTCTATTAAGATCTGATTCTCTGTGAGATCGCCGTCCCTACCTAGACCCGCCTGGTGATGATGAAGTTTGAGCTCATTTTCGGGAGTTCAAAAGGTGTGGTGGCCGCAACGATTCGGAAACTCGCATCTTCGGAAAGACATATAACCCATGGCCGCGGTGGAAAGTCTGAGTACTGTTTGTGATAATTAGCGGCAGGGTAAGCATTCTCCTCGCACCCGACGAATTCTGATGTGAATGACGATAATGGAGCTTACCAATTTCTATCGAGCAAATCTCGCAGAAGTCCCGGAAGTGAGCCGTATGAACTTACCACAAGCGATGCATCATCTTAACTGACGGCAGACCATGAGGGCATGGAGTAGAGAGAATTTCCGGGCCATCGCTCTTGCAATGTTCCAACTACCGATCAATGCGCAATGGCCAGGCTCTAATAGCGCCAGCCGGATGGACCTAGCGACTGAAACGGTTGAAGTGGGGTTACATACCTCGTGATGGGACAGCATTGGCCTTTGTTACGTCTGTGGACATAAGGCTACCGCAGGCAATCGAATAGCCCCACTCGAACCAATTTAATTCTGTCATTCTATGTTATTGCTCATGAGCTGCAAGAACAAGCAGAAGGGCCTGACCAGAAATACATGATATGCAGGTTACACCCGAGTTATACCCCTTGGATGTCGGCCTCACTTTTCTTCGCGGAGTTTTGAAAATGGCAGTGCATAACAGAGTGTATTCGCAACCGCAATTATGATATCGATGTGTTTTTTTTGCAGAAGATTGGACAAGATAGAATGGGGTTGGGAGGGTACAAGTCTTCGATACGATGACGACAAAGGGGAGCACTTATGAGTCACAATGAAGGGTCATGGAGGGATCATAGTAGTAGACGCCACGATGCTAACGCCACCAACGTGGCGAGGGGTGCGAAGGAGTGTGGCCCTGACGCCTCTAGCTCGGAAACCTGACTCGGAGGACAGGGTCGGAGGCATCCCGCTTGGCCAGTACCAGTTGGTGTAACCTTAAACATGGTGGCTTGACTCGTTTTGCCCTGGGAACATAGTGCGCTGTCAATCGCATTCAATTACCTGTGATTAAACTGCCAAGAAATCTT